ACTGAGTTCACTCTTTAAGGTCTTTGTTCATCCCAGGCCAGAAGAAACGATGTGCGATAAGCCTAATGGTGGCTCGTACACCTGGATGACGGAGTTTGTGCAACGTATTGAAGACGTTGTGTCGACAACTCTTCGGAACTATTGGGCGTGGTTGACTAGCAGGTACATCGCACAAAATTGCATCCTCGTCTGATCCAACAGGACAAAGTCGCAGTTTGAGAGTTGTGGACGACAACTCACGATGCAGCTTAAGGTCTTCCTTTTGACACCGAGCTAGTTCAACGAGATCAATACCCTCGATATAGTTTATCGAAGCTATTCGAGATAGTGCGTCGGCTGCGGAGTTGTTTGCTCCAGGAATGTGGCGGATGTCTGACGTGAACTGGGAAATGTAATCCAGCTGTCGCGACTCACGCGGGGAGTATTTGCCAGACGCCGAGCTGAGGGAAAACGTTAACGGTTTGCGGTGTGTGAAAATAATGAAATCACGACCTTCCACCGAATGTCGAAGGTGGCGTACAGAACAGTACATAGCTAGGAGTTCCCTACCAAATGTACTGTATCTTGTTTCCACATCTTGCGGCCACCGCGAGAAAAAGGCTAACGGTTGCCACTGGTTGTCAGTTAATTGTTGCAAAACTGTCCCAATTGCTGAATCAGATGCATCAGCAGTAATACTCATGGGAGCATTGGGGTCGTGATGCATAGACATGGTTGCATTTGAAATGGCTTCCTTGACTTTAGAGAAAACAAGTCTAGCTGCGTTGTCCAGAGCCACGAACTTCGCAGTTCCTCGAAGTAGATCTGTTAATGGTTGTAGCTGCCAGAATCCAATAATCTTGGCTTGAACGCGGGAAATAACTAGGCGGTGCCAACTGACTTGAATCTCACTAGTTCCTGCGTTCTACTGTATAGCTTCCTAACTTCCGCGAGTGACGCACAGTCAAAAGTTGGATCAAAATATCAAAACACGGTTTGTAGTAATTCAATAGTAGATTCGTAACAAAATCTGTGGTACTATCAAAGCAACAATAAGTTATGTCAAATTACAAAAATACCTCAACAGTGCCGTTGGGTAACTATACAGTCCAAAACGTTCTCGGGTACAAACACGTACTACACGGTAAAAACTGGTTAAAAAAATACAACTGTTAAGTACCTGTCGGTCAATAGGAACATTCCCGGCAAAAGGGATCGAAACTCTGCCTACAGGAATCAAATCAACAAACAAACGTTCCCAGTGGACAGTCAAAAGACAAACAGTCAAATCACTGCACAACCGTAAGTTGAACCAAAACAAAATGTCGTGCGCAGTAAAACAACATCACCTTATCAACAGTCCAGCGTCACATAATAGGAAAGTGAAACATTCATAATAAGTCTCAAACATACAAAGGCAAATACCGAGTGTAAAGTCAAATAAGACAGTTAAACAAGCAAATAACATTACACCGGCGAGGGTCAAAGGTACACCATCCGTAACGAGGGGTAAAAAATGTTAAAATAAATGTCAATACAATCAAATAAGGGTGATCGGGGGGATTTACAGATCATTTTTCCGTTACAGTGGTCTCATGACAGAAGCGCAGTTGGGGATACTCCTTCGGCAATAACTTACCAGGCCAATGAGAGTGCGGAGATGTTTCACAGCGGTCGGCTCTGGATAGTTCGTGATAGCCGCCACTTTATCTCTCAATGGGCGTATACCTTTGTTGTCAATGGTATGCCCAAGGAAGCTGAGTGATTCAACTCCTGTTTCACACTACCGTAAGTTGATTGTGATGCCATGTTTTTTAGTCTTTGAAATGCGGGGTCCAAATGTTTAAGGTGAGTTTCCTTATCTGGACTCGCAATTAGACAGTCATCCATGTAGACATGAACGAAATTCGAACCACGGAAGACATCATCCATAAAGCGTTGGAATGTTTGTGCTGCATTCCGAAGACCAAATGGCATGCGCAGGAATTCAAACAGGCCAAAAGGAGTAATAATGGCTGTTTTCGTGATATCTTCTGCTGCCATAGGTATCTGATTGTACGCTCTGACCAAATCGATTTTGGAGAAAATGTTCATTCCTCATAAGGTTGCAGTCAAGTCGTAAACGTGAGGTGTCGGGTAGCAGTCCGGAGTTGTTTTGGCTTTAAGCCTTCGGTAGTCGCCGGCTGGACGCCAGCCGTTGCTGTCTGTTTTCAGAACCATATGCAATAGTGATGCCCAAACACTGTTTGATGGGTTGATAATGCCCAGTTCGAGCATGTGGTCTGATTCGCCTTTCGCCGTTTTGGGCCTGTCGGGGACTAGACGGCGCGCTTTGGATGTCACAGGTGGACCTGTGGTAGTCATGTGATGCATAACATTGCTGGTTATGCACGGAAGAGTATGCTTCGGCTGTTGCAACTCTGGATATTTCTCCAAAACTGCTTGGTAGGACGCGTTGCCTGATTGTTTGGTTCTAACGATGGCTAAACTCGGACCTACATTGGTGGTGCCACCGATGGATAGCTTTGTGTTGCTATCTATCAGTCGTCGACGGCGAGCATCTACGAGTAGATCGTAATGGTTTAGCAAATTTATGCCAATCATGGGCATAGAGACGTAAGCAAGGAGGAAGATCCACTGGATGGGTTTACGCAAACCTAAGTCGAGGTAGGCATACCGTCCCCCAAATGTCGCGATTGCCTTACCGTTGGCTGCTTGAAGATTGAAGGATGGGTCATGCTGACGCTCCTTTGTCGTTGCGAGAAGAACGCTAACTTCTGCGCCGGTGTCGACGAAGTAGCGGACTTTCGTTTTAATGTCGGTGACGTAGAGCAAACGGTTGTTTCCTCCGGCTACGGTTGCCGTGAACACGTGCCGGCGTGACCGTTTCCCGAGTTTGTGTCCTTGTTAAAACGGCATGGTTTCCGACATTTTCTGGCTTCGTCTCCGTAAGTATTATGAAACCAGCACCATTCAGGGTTTTCCACCCTGTTAGGTTTAGTTTTGGGGCAGCCACGTTAGTTGCTGTGATGCACTAAGATGCGTTTCTGTGGAGTTTCACGTGAACTAGGAATTTAAAGTCGTAGCAACTGTTTAACAGAGTTGCACAGCTTGGTCGCCTCTGAATCCTGGCTCTCTGGTTTGCCGCAGACAGAATATACGTTGTAGACGGGTCTGCTAGAAATCTCCAGTATTTTATCTGCCGAGGCTGCCAGGTCATCGAGTGGGACTGACTGCGGTGTCACCAACACGGTTTGCACCGGTTGTGGTAGTTTTGAGGGAAATAGTTCTCGGAAAAGGCCATTGTCAAACGTTCGTGCACCCATAACTTCTCGCATGTGTGCGAGGACTTCAGTAGCTGAGTTGCTGCCTAGCTCGATGTTACGAAGTAATTCGTCTAGGCGCTGGCGATCTGTCAGATCGCTTTTCTTCAGGGGTGCGGCCTTAAGAAGTGCATAAGGATAACTTACTTCAGGATTAAACATGTGTGCCGTAACATGTCTATTTAATTCCCACGGTAGTGACCGCATGACAGCGAGATATCTAGAATGAGGATCTGAGACGCCCTGTTCTCGAAAATCGGCCTCGGTATACAGAAACCATGTTTCCTCATTGTCTGGCCAATATGGCACGAGCTGGATCATGTTCGTAGTCGGCTTAATACGAATAAGCTTGGGAGTGTGGTCGAACATGAGAAAGTTTAGTAAATGGACATATAAATGTTACCGAAATGAAAACAATAAACAAATATAAAGTAGAACAGGCTCACCAATTCAATACTTGTTATTGGTCGGGATATGTGATCACGTCGGGCTCACCAATTCATGCTTTGTCTTGGCGCGAACTTGACAGACGCAAAGACCAATCACTAATTATTCGGACTTGTTATATACCCAGGAATACGAGACCAAGGAAGAACACGGTAGCGTAGTCGAATGGATGGTTGTGCCAAAATACCGAAGCGTTCCAACTAACTGGCTAGAGAGTCGAATACGAGCAGTGCAACGTAACACGACAGCATGCCAAATGGCGGGGATGCTTGACCGGGTGCCTTCAGCCTAGTGAGTTCAGTTAAACTATCAAGGTTAGCATCAATGTTGAAAGTCGTCAAACCCTAGGCTATTGATTTTGGAGAAGTGTGCGACGCTACACCGTTATCTATAAACCAGGGAGAGATGCACTACCTACAGAGAGCAGACTAATAATCGATTACCTCTATCTTTTCAGGTCCTTCGAAACCAAGAAGACAACAGCTACCACTCAAGAGCAACAAAGCATTCCAGTAAGACGGACGTAGAACTCAGGGAACCATCCTTAATTGACTACACGACACGAAATTTGAAACTTGAACTGATTGGCTCAAGTGCAATTAACTGATAATTCCTTGCACAGGTGCATTTTCTGATAACAGGCCACGTATTAACTAAGCAATTAGTCAAGGTGCACTTAAAGTGCTTTGGGACCATCCTCTGCAACCAAGAGAGCTATTTACGAAACCCAGGTGGTATAGAATGTTCATTTGGTAACCATGTCTGTGATGTGGCCACCAATACGTAACACGGCAGAAACAATAACTTTAATCGTCTAGGTCTTGAGTTTTCATAACTTGAAGAGAATATATGAGCTTTCAACTCACGAACCTCAGTTTCTATAACTTGGCATTGAACAAAACCTACTGGAGTTAGAAAAGCTACAGGTTTGTCTACGTGAACTGTTCCACAATTCTATATTAGATTTGTTTGTTTAGTTCGTGGTACACAGTGGTGCAGTAAATAATGCCGTGTCACTGTGTGTTATAAATACAAAAACAAGTCTAACATGGTATTACAATCTACAACAGTGCCCGAGTTCTACATTTTTATAAATGCTCCGGGATTCGTAACGCCTCTTCAGCAAGTATTAAACTGCCAAAATAGGATCACACTGGCTTGAGGCAGAAACAAGTGACAGTTTCTTTGTTGTTACTTAACAACTTTGAATGTTGTACATTTGGACTTGGTTTGTTGTGTTACTCGCGGACCAAGCGCAGTAGCTAACCGCGGGGTTGTGATTTTAATTTTTGTGGCGCTGTCATTCTGTTATGGCTCCCAAAGAGTTGGTCAAGCCTAAAGATCCCCCTGAAACTATAGTAGATGCTGTAAGACGAAGAGAGTTTATACGTGGGCGATTTCTGGGAAAAGTATGTGCTATTGTTTGACGTCACTTTCTTTAAGGGAGGGTTCGCTAAGTGTTATGAGCTGACAGACAAGAAAACAGGCGAGAAGTTTGCTGGCAAAGTTATTAACAAAGCCGCTTTGGTCAAAGAATCGCAGAAGGAAAAGATGCGCCAGGAGATCAGCATTCATCGTACTTTAAAACATGAGAATGTCGTCGGCTTCCATGGGAACTTTGAAGACAGTGAATTCATATATATTTTACTTGAGATATGCAATCGAAGGGTAGGATTGTTATATTGCTTAAGTTATTCAAATAGTCACTTCTTGAGCTGCACAAGAGAAGAAAGTATGTCACTGAACCAGAAGCAAGGTACTTCATGAAGCAAATAGTTCATGGCTGCCAGTATCTACATCAAAATAAAATTATGCACAGAGATCTTAAACTTGCAAATCTTTTCTTGGATGATGACTTGAAAGTGAAGATAGGTGACTTTGGACTTGCCTCAAGAATAAGTCGTGAGGGCGAGAAAAAGAAGACTTTGTGTGGGACACCTAATTACATCGCTCCTGAGGTTTTAAGCAAAGGTGGACACAGTTTTGAAGTAGACTCATGGTCTCTTGGCTGTATACTGTATGTGCTCCTTTATTCTAACTCTTTCAGGTACACCTTATTAGTTGGTAGTCCTCCTTTTGAGACCAATAAACTGGAAGAAACATACGCACGCATTAAGCAGAATGAATATCGCATACCTATACGGGTGTCGGTCAGTGCTTCCATGCTAATTCGTTCACTTTTGCATGCCAACCCGGAAAAAAGACCAAATATGTTCACTGTACTTGATCATGAGTTTTTCAAGGACTTTACACCAAGTGGTCTCCCAGTTAGTTGCCTTACAACATGTCCCAGATTCGACACTATGCATCGACCACAGACTGGACGTCGTCCACTGTCCGACATTAATCCTGTCGAAGATGTCCCAATAACGAGTGGTGGCGGTGCCCTAGGTAACGTAGTGAGAGATGCAGTCGACAAGGATGTTCAACCAGATGACTGTTGGCTAGGGGAACTCCAAAAAAGAGTAAGTGTAGCGGTTCTTTGACGCGTTCATTTCCAGCTTGCTCGCCTACTACAAGAAGCTCGGAGTTTGAGGATTCCTCTCCAAAGGCAATGGAAGAAAGCGAGGACCCAGCAGCCTGTCCAATATATTGGGTTAGCAAATGGGTCGACTATTCAGATAAGTATGGTCTGGGATATCAACTGTGTGATAATTCTTATGGTGTTGTGTTTAATGATGTCACAAGACTTCTGTTGACAACGAATGCACAAAATCTTCAGTATATTGACGAACAAGGCACTGAACGCCTGTTTACCCTATCGAAGCACCCTGAGAATTTGGCGAAGAAAGTGACGCTTCTCACTTGTTTCAAGTCCTATATGCATCAAAATCTCCTCAAGGTAAGTCTTCGGTTGCGTATATCGTTAGTGTATATTATCGGCCCCATGACCAACAAAAGTGCACTCGGACGTAAAACTGCCAGTTGTCCATGCGAACATCATTTTTAGGCTTGCTAGCTTTCGCGTTGTTCCTGTTCAAGTCTGCACTACCATAGTATTTGTTGAAAGTGATCAGTTGAGGTCCACTAAGCCATACGATCCAACTACAGTAGATCTTAATCGAAAGGTAGATGCAAGCGTTACGAAACACCATTACTAATCTCATTTTATTTGGACCTTGAAATGTCAATACTATGTCCTGCTGTAATTTGTGTTGAACAAGTTTTCATACTTCTATTCTTTCATAGCAGGGGGAGGAATAAATCTTGGGATTATGAAGTGACGGCTCAGATTGTGCTGCTGTCACGTCTGGTCGGTTTTTGATAATAATATCCCACATACAGAAAACTAAAATTTGTCACCTAAATGTCATTTTCGATTTAAGTAACTACTGAAAGGAATTTAGCCATATTGTGCAGTAATCTGTTGCAGTATGATAGGAACATGGTGAGTTACAAGCAACCAGTGGGAGCATCGTGTAGGTAGTTCTATTATGGGGTCGTCCTTTTTATATGGTGGTCATCTTCATTTTATGAGTGCAGCCATCCTGCATCACCGTTGTTTGGACGCTTGCCAGATATCGTCCCAACGCTTCCAATACCGTTTGACGTTTGCTTGCCCTGAGTGGTTGGAAAACGTTTTTAGGGAATAAAACCGCCATAAAATGAGGGACAGTTGTTTTGTATCAGCATTAGTTAGTGACTAAAGACTTTTCATGTGATCATGATCATGCTGCTTTACAGCTCTTATAGTTCATCGGACATGATTCAAAATCCGAACCGTTGGCGGTCGCGTTATGACCTAGTAGTCATTGTTTTTGGAAATTATTGAAACTAGCGACATTGTTTTTAGTTGTGTCTTGATAAAGTAACTGTCTGGTCTTTCGTCTTTTCCTTTTTCTCGTTCGATGTTAAATTGCTTCCTATGGCTTATTCTTTGTTGACCATGTACTAAGTTGTTTCAAATAAAACTGACAAATTGTCAGTTTCTATAGTCAGTTATCCTTGGGCAAATGATAGGTTTCATTTTTCTTGATCAACAGGCGGGTGAGAATATAGCACGTCCAGACGCTGATGCTATGGCCCGTCTACCATTCCTTCGCAAATGGTTCAGGACGCGTTCCGCGATTGTGTTACATTTGAGCAATGGAACGTTACAAGTAAGTATGTTTTTTCAGAAGTGTCATGGACTGCTTAAAATAACTTATAGAGAACTTTTCACAAGACTTGTTACACAAGCTAGTAAGAGAGAACGAATGATTCACAAGTGACACGACGAAAATCAACGTAGAACCTCGCACGCAGGTGTATTCACCCCAGCTGCCGCACTTCACAGGTACATATATAAAGTGATATCAAAGCAGATAAGTGATGTAGAAGAATAAACAGTCTGAAGATGGTGATGGAGAATATCAAAGCTTTAGATGTTTTGAATACACCCGTGTCATTGTGATGGATTTCCAGTCATGTCACCAGGAGTCCTCGACTAATGATTCCTTTCATCTCGAAAACCCCAGCAAAGCAGTCCACGTCTCTTCACACGACTCAGGCCAGCAGTCGAAGACTTCACCTACTGGTGCCATTTCTTAGTCTGGCCACCTTGTAAAATTCCAGCCTACTCCAGCTTCCCATAGCTCAGCACGTCAAGGTATGCAGCAACTCGGCGTTCACAGTACGCGTCCGCGCTATCTTAGTCAACTGAGGTTCACAACCAGATCCATCGACTTGCCTGTTCTACCTAGTTTCCTTCACTTGACCTCGAAATGGCTCAAACTGTGATTCTGCTCGACGGTACCACCAGAATGCTACAAAGACACTTATGAACGAAAACCCACAACTGCTTCTTGTACTTCAACCTTTCAACAACCAACTCTCAGCTGTATGACATGACACAGCTAACTGCAGCACAGTACACTCTTCCTTTTGACAGGCGGTTAGATATCTCTCCAGTGTCAGAGCCTATGCAAATTGGCGAATGCCAAACAAGACTTTTATATCCGAGCTGAGATTTCAACAGTAACCAGCCCATTCTAGCTGATACAACTCCCCAAGTAAGTGAAGTAATCAACGCATTCCACCACTTCAAACTACATCCTTAAACTAGAAGTAGGTGCAGTCCATTCCTGAAGCATCTTACATTTGACAGGTGCAAAACTCATGCCGGACATACTCAGATTTCTGCTCAACGTGCTTGGCGTCTTCACCTAACAGGACAATATCGTCTGTACACTGCAAGTCAACCAGATAACCTCCAGAGAGTAGGTCAGTCAGGCGCACTTAAGGTTGTATCTAGTAGTACGTCTATGACGAAGTTAAATAGGGACGGTGAATATAAGCACCCCTAGCGGACCCTTAGTTGTCGTCAACTCTGATGACCACTCTCCATAGGCCCTTACATGGCTGTGTACGTTCGAGTAGAAACTTTGGTGAGCATTGTATACTTGCTCTGTACTGCCTCCATAGTCAAACACTTCCCCACAAGGCATCACGGTAGACAGGGTCGAGTGCCACTTTCAAGTTGAGAACTAAGGCAATTGTCGGACCCCGCTTTGCTAGAACCTGTCAGAGGGTAGAAGTGGGATCGATGCAATCTCGTCCAGATCTGGAACCTGTTTGTTGTTCTCGAGTTCAATTTAGGTTTCATTAACTATGGACCCTAGTATCGTGGACGCAATATTAGTCAAACTGACTCCTCTACGCTTGTCACACAAAGGTTTGTCTCTCATAGTCTGGGATGATCAGTAAAGTAGACCAGTCTGACAGCGCACTGTTCCCATACACTGCCTAGCACCCCCTTCACTTCAATTGGCAATTTTATACTTCAATCCTTAAAAGTTTCAGGTGGCAAACTGTCGGGCCACTCTGCTTTACATCATTTCAAGTCCGATACAACTCTCTTAACTTCAAGAAAAGTCGGAGGACCAACATCCACGTCCCATTCAGGTTGAGGTTGGACGTTAGGCAACTGAAGCGTTGCTGAGGGTCAGTTGGACTGTGCTTCCAAGTGTTCTGTTCAACATCCTAGCCACCTATCCTGGAAGGTTATCAGCGTCCCATCCTTTACAGTGATGGTCTCACTAACTATCGTCTACTAACCGGTTTCCTTAATAAGCCTAAATGGTTTCCGTGTGTTAATCAATGTTGGTGCCTTCTCCATCACTCTCGCTCTCACCACCCACAACTGCTCGCGATCATTGCGAAGACTCTTATCCAGTATATGTTTTAGTTACTTTTGTTCTCCCACCTGAAATCAGTCTTCTCGTATCAATCAGTTCACATGACGTCACGCGAATCCAATGACGTATCATAACCTTCATGTATAGGTTACCAACCATCTTTACCGATGTTTCTGCAGCAAATACAATACTCGTCACACCAGGTTTTTTCAGGATGAACGTTGCTGTCATGTCCAGATAAGTGCTTAACTATCTCTTTCCTGAGTGCGTACTTGACGTTCTCATCTTCCAATCGACCATAGAAAGGCTTTACTATCGCCTTTTTCATATGGCCAGTAAGGCACAGGCATACACGGAGCAATACTATCGCCTGATCGGAGTCCAAACTGGTACTCCTGAAACAGCACCAATCATCTAACGATGGCTTATAGCAATGTGATCTGAGTGTTTCCATCACCGGTTTGATGACGGCAGACGCCATGTCACACAGTGTATCCTCTCTATGTTTAAAGTTAGTGTTGGCCAGAAACAAGAGATTGTCAAAACAAAATTGCAACAGATGACCACCATTGTCGGTCTGTTGGCATGTGATTGCGTAGATACCTGCAAGATGCCTTTCTGATTGGCTCAGCTTCCCTACTTGAGCGTAAAGTCACCTGCCGTTATGACTGCATCTGAACATTTCGCTTTCTGTAGCAAAATTGACAGCTTTTCGTAGAATCCATCCCTTGTACCATCCGAACTGCAGTTGGTGGGTAGGTAGGCGGAGATTGAGAATAGACATCGCCTAGTTTCACAATCCTTCCTAGTTCTAACAGATCCATTGAGTCAAACAGCACATAGATGGCTGTTTACTGGTATCCAGTAGAGAAGCGCACTTTCTACCTTACAGCTCAATGGTATACCTACACCAGTGAGTCCACAAGAGCTAGCTATTGGGTCTCCTGTTTACTCGTAAGGTGAGTTCTGAAGATTCACTACTATGGTCAAGTGAGGTCAATTTAATAACCACGTTTGGGTCCTGTATGCATGTCTCGTGGACAGAGCATACATCCATAGTTAGATTCCAGAGTTTTGGCGAGCGATGCTTTCTGTCTGATTTGGCGTAGACTTCAGATGTTGGAAACTCTTACGTAGAATTGATGGTGAGATCTTTAGAGACTAGAGATCAGGTATCGAAGATTGAATGTCGGCAATCCTCAAAGATCGAGGTTGAGGAAGATATAGGCGGCTTAGTAATAGTTTCAGTAGGTGAAGTCAAAAGCGGATGCAATTGCGCAGGTTTGGTGATGTTTGATTGCGTCGTGTGTACTAGCGGAAGCATGCAGGTGGTTGACAATTCCCGGTTACACACACTGTGAAGTTATTTCTTTATAAAATATTTGTGTTGGAAGGACTATGTGGCCGCAAAGTCCGTGGGATATCTGCTTGAGTGCTGTCACTTACTGCATTTTGTTGGTTGTTGTCCTGAGTTTTGGTTGTTCTAACTCCGGATACAGGAATCCCATACTATTGGCTTTGGAAGACCATGGGGCTGGGTGAAGTGCTTTTTTGGTATCTGACCTATTCTAACCTCCTCTTCCGTTAGTGAAGTCAGGATCAACGTGGCACTGCTGGGCATCCCAGAAATACGCCTTGCTGCTGTCACATTGCATCCAGCCAGCAGCAGTACGACTTCGCCCTGAGACAACATAAACAGTGTAGTAATTTAGGCTTCAACAATTACTTCCTGCCATTCGCGATGGTGCGTAACTCTGGCGCTTAAGTAGGGAATCTAAACGAATCACAAAGGCCTTTTTAAAGTATCAACAGGTATCCCTTGTCATTGAACCGACGATGACTATCGTCTAGTACATTCACTTAGTTCTTGTCAGTGCTGGCTTCAAGCATTAGAGAGAGATATTATCTCACCTGCTGTCTGATGACATCAAGCCAATAGTAGGTGCCTCATACTGCCATAACTTACCGTAGGAGAGGATTAATGGAAGATTGCCTTTCTTTCTGAAGTACCTGCTTGAACAGCAAGTCGATTGAAAGGTAGGAATGTTAGGCGTGCACATTTAGAAGGGAGATAGCTGAATATTCGACCAAACACAACAGTAATTTTCTTCTGATACAGATTACTGTAGTATTCATTGTGCTCTGTATACAACAGTAGGTTGTTGGAAACGTGCGCATAGGTTAGCAAAAGGGTTTTTGTCATCTCATCGGCACTCATTGATATGAGTGACTACAGTGAGAGGCGAAAGCATCTAAAACGTAAATTGACTGGGCGTCTTCGCAATGATCGCAAGTAATGGTGAGCGGTGGAAGAAATGGAGAAGCCGTCGGGCTAGGTAATGCTCGGCAGTTATTCAGGCTTATTAAGGATGTGGGCGAGAAGATTGGCTAATGAGACCATCACTGAAAAGCATGACGCTATGATCACCCCAGGACAAGCGGCCAGGGCACTTTGAAGCACAGTTCAGCTGGCCTACAGAAACTCTACAGTCGCTCAGCATCCAGCCTGAACCGGTTTGGGACGTAGATCCCGGTCCTATTGCTCTTCTCGACGTTGAGAAGGCTGTTTTGCACCTGAAACGATGCAAAAAAGCAAGATGCGATGGTTTGCCGCAACATTTTTTTAAGGCTGGAGGTAAGAAATTACTGAACAGAGTAACTCGAGCTTTGGGTGTTCATGCATGGTAATCAGAGGCCGTGCCGGTCTGCCCCACTAATCACCCCAGTCTAAGAAAGGTGAGAAGTCTTCCTGTGGCAAGCACAGGGGAATCAGTTTCACTGTGTTCAGGATCCTGGGGTCCGAAGTTAGCGACATCTAACTAGAGCTTGAGGAAACCACCTGGTTTTCAAATTTTTCTTAAACACATTCCTAGTAGTGACCCTTCTGTCTGTGCAGTCTTAAGAACTTAACTTCTACCTGGAGACTGCTCAGAGTTTGCAAGCAGCGCGTCTAGTGAATTAGTAAAGGTTAGAATGGTTAAGTAACTTTAATAATTCTGTCTTTTTCTGGGGAGCGTTATCACATCAGACGCGCTAGTTGCTGACGAAGTCTTAGCTCGAATGCAGGTCTATTTGGCATTTGCCAACTTGCGTCATCTCTCGCACCGTTAAGATATCCGACTACCCATTAAAGGACGAGTATTCTGCGCTCCAGCCCTTTTTGTCCTGTCATATACTTGTCAGACAAAGCCGTTAGTAGTGAATATCAATAAATCACAGATTTCTGACCACAACCATCTTCACAGCATAGCTAACGTAAGGGGGAATCACGGTGTGAGCAATATCGAAGTTAGACAAAGAACCCTAATCAATTCGGTTGATGAGGTGAATCTTTCGCAACTGATATGGTTCGGACATGTGTCGCACATGCCTACTTTTGATATCACTTTTCCTGTTAACCTTTTCATTGTATGTATGGCAACTTTGCGGATTTGTGTGTAAGTTTCTACGTTGCTTTTGTCTGTCTGCACATGCTGAACCACTGCCTAACCCGTGTCAGCAGAATCTGGACAGGGCTCAAGGTTGTAAAGCTGGTACCTGTCGCCAATCCATGAAGTCTCTGACTCTTGTTCTCAGCCACTTAGAGAGGTATTGTCTATCTAGTTGGGGTTCTCAACGGTTGAGAATGAGTCACAATGGCGCAGATGTATTCACTCTTTGATATCTTCTATAGCTTGAATATGTTCATCTACTTTCATGTTCCATTTCATTCTCCCATACACCTTTGCATACTGTGATGTCGGTCTTTTCTTACCCACTTCTTTTTTATGCTACTGTGGAGTGTGACAGTTTGAACCAATGCATTTGTCTGCGAGGCTTTTCGTTGATTTTTTCTGACTTAAGTCACTAAAACACTCATCATTCAGAATAGGTTACTTGTTGACCAGAATTTCGGAAAATGCAGATTGCTTGTTTCGTTCTTTGGACTTATAATCATATGTAGAGCAGAAAAGTCAGTGTACCACTTGACAAGTTCACTGCATGACTAAGTTGTTACCGAAGGTGCAAATCACAGATTTCATGGGTTATTTATCACTTTGTTTCTCAGATTATTGTTCAGAGATACAATAAGGTACCAAAAAGTGGTCACAGCATAGCAAATAGTCGCACTACAAAGTGAGTTCAAGTGTAGTGTCAGTTAGAGAAACCAAGCTACCTGATGATGTCTGACGTGGTCAGCATGCATTTTGTTGCATTTCCTTAGTACCCATACTTCATGGGTTTTTGGGTTCAATCAATAAACGTTATGTTTGCATGCTTAGCCCACTCATTACCTCTCTTGTGTTCAGTTGCTTAAATAAAATGAGTATAAGAAATAGCTGCAAAGTGATCAGGCCGATATGTACTAATTTATTCTGAATGTTTGAACAATCATAATAAGTATTGATACAATGGTTCACAAGACAGCTAAGATTGTTTGTTAACAACGTCAGGTGGTGTGTAAGTTGATAGTAGTGGAGTAGATATATTCGCTGTTTATTTATAGATAAATATTTCATCATATGTCCTGTCGTTGGTTTTGTTTCCCTATTTTCCGTAGTTCTCGACCAGTAGAGATAACATTTTTGTATTCATTCGGCTCTTTTTAGTACCTTTTTTTCTCGGTACTGAACATAGCAACTTGAACGCAAAGACTAATGTACTGGGTCTTTCCATTTAGTGATAACATTGTTGAAATAATTAAATTGCGTACCGAGGTTTTGCAACCATGATTAGGTGAATATGCTTATCAGGATTGTGAAGATCAGAAAGTAAAAACTGATGGTAAGAGGTTTAGTGTTAAGGCAGCAGTATATACTTTGACCTTACTCTGCGCAACAACCACTACGTTACCTAGTTTGGAAAATGTTTATTGTCACGATAGTGTTTTGCTGCCAAGTGAATTTGAGATGTGAATGATGATGTATCTCCGTAGTCCGCAAAACTGACTTCATATTACAACAATACGTAAATATGCTTTCAGAAATAGCTTGAGGTGTCGTTTGTCAAACACTTCAGTTTCTGTCGTCAGCGTACTGTGTTTGTAACCAGAATTTCCTCTCTAGAGTACCACTTATTTGACAACTCATGTCTAACATTATGTCACATCCACATCGATTTCATTTCATACATCGAATAAATTAATCTCTCTGTGTTTGGGTGTTTGACTATTGTACATGATTAAAGTTGTAATGAGTGCAACACTTATTTTGTGTATTTTGTTTTCCAGATAAACTTCTTCGACGACCATGCGAAAATTATTCTATGCCCTTTGATGCATGCGGTAACCTACATTGATGCCAACAGGGATTTTAGAACGTACCGTTTCAAGCATCTTCGAAACTTTGGACTGAGTACCGACTTGGCGAATAGACTGCGATATGCAGCAACTATGATCGATCGTCTCCTTTTACCGGTTGGCTGTAAAGTACTTGCGTCAAATTCCAACGATCCCAATTCCAAAGTGACTCCTGTGAGTTCAGCAGATAATGAGAAGTTTGACAAACCAATTTCGGCTGACGTACAAAGAGCATATGTGGCTGGTACAACCGCAGCAGCTAAAGGAGTTGCTACAGTTCGGTCGTCAGAATGATTGTATTACTTCTATTTTCTACTGGTTTTTATTCTTCACTTTTAGTGTGCATTGTCAATGTCACTTATTCTCAACGGTGCGCCTCTAAATGTAATCTATATTTGTCACATTTTTTCTCCAAACAATCTTGTGCACCTTAATTATCCCAACTTATTTAATTTATAATGACTTAGAATATTGTAAAATCTGATTGACGCTGATTTCTGAGATTTTGAAGATTGAGATTTATCTCAACGTTCATGTCTCTGTTACTTGAGCGTGAATTCGTAAAATCTAGAAATTAATGTGTAGCATTTCATGATGAATGAATCTGCTCGTCCGATTACAAAAGGATTTTGAATAGAGTGCGTGAAATAAAACATTCACGATTGTTTCTGTTTTTGATTTTGATCTGTGAAAAGCTACAGAATACTAATACTTCCATTTTCACTTAGTCTCTGTCACTGTTCAGAAGTGTTTTGTATTTAGTAGCAAAAGTTTCATGAATAGACAATTAAATACCTAACAGGTGGTCTTACAGATTCGTCGTGAATTTTTATCGTCGTAATTAACTTCTCAGCGGTAAACTTCATTGGATTTTCGTGACATCATGCGGACTGATTCATACGAGAAGACAGATTTCAGGTGAAAGAACGAAAGCGAGTAAAACGTATGCTGAATAAGAGTCTTCGCAGTGATCGCAAGCAGTTGTGGATGATGATAGCGAGATTGATGTAGTAGGCACCAACATTGACCGTTGCCGACATTCAGTCTTCGAAACCTGATCTCTAGTCTCTAAAGATCTCACCATCAATTCTACGTAAGAGTTTCCAACATCTGAAGTCTACGCCAAATCAGACAGAAAGCATCGCTCGCCAAAACTCTGGAATCTAACTATGGATGTATGCTCTGTCCACGAGACATGCATACAGGACCCAAACGTGGTTATTAAATTGACCTCACTTGACCATAGTAGTGAATCTTCAGAACTCACCTTACGAGTAAACAGGAGACCCAATAGCTAGCTCTTGTGGACTCACTGGTGTAGGTATACCATTGAGCTGTAAGGTAGAAAGTGCGCTTCTCTACTGGATACCAGTAAACAGCCATCTATGTGCTGTTTGACTCAATGGATCTGTTAGAACTAGGAAGGATTGTGAAACTAGGCGATGTCTATTCTCAATCTCCGCCTACCTACCCACCAACTGCAGTTCGGATGGTACAAGGGATGGATTCTACGAAAAGCTGTCAATTTTGCTACAGAAAGCGAAATGTTCAGATGCAGTCATAACGGCAGGTGACTTTACGCTCAAGTAGGGAAGCTGAGCCAATCAGAAAGGCATCTTGCAGGTATCTACGCAATCACATGCCAACAGACCGACAATGGTGGTCATCTGTTGCAATTTTGTTTTGACAATCTCTTGTTTCTGGCCAACACTAACTTTAAACATAGAGAGGATACACTGTGTGACATGGCGTCTGCCGTCATCAAACCGGTGATGGAAACACTCAGATCACATTGCTATAAGCCATCGTTAGATGATTGGTGCTGTTTCAGGAGTACCAGTTTGGACTCCGATCAGGCGATAGTATTGCTCCGTGTATGCCTGTGCCTTACTGGCCATATGAAAAAGGCGATAGTAAAGCCTTTCTATGGTCGATTGGAAGATGAGAACGTCAAGTACGCACTCAGGAAAGAGATAGTTAAGCACTTATCTGGACATGACAGCAACGTTCATCCTGAAAAAACCTGGTGTGACGAGTATTGTATTTGCTGCAGAAACATCGGTAAAGATGGTTGGTAACCTATACATGAAGGTTATGATACGTCATTGGATTCGCGTGACGTCATGTGAACTGATTGATACGAGAAGACTGATTTCAGGTGGGAGAACAAAAGTAACTAAAACATATACTGGATAAGAGTCTTCGCAATGATCGCGAGCAGTTGTGGGTGGTGAGAGCGAGAGTGATGGAGAAGGCACCAACATTGATTAACACACGGAAACCATTTAGGCTTATTAAGGAAACCGGTTAGTAGACGATAGTTAGTGAGACCATCACTGTAAAGGATGGGACGCTGATAACCTTCCAGGATAGGTGGCTAGGATGTTGAACAGAACACTTGGAAGCACAGTCCAACTGACCCTCAGCAACGCTTCAGTTGCCTAACGTCCAACCTCAACCTGAATGGGACGTGGATGTTGGTCCTCCGACTTTTCTTGAAGTTAAGAGAGTTGTATCGGACTTGAAATGATGTAAAGCAGAGTGGCCCGACAGTTTGCCACCTGAAACTTTTAAGGATTGAAGTATAAAATTGCCAATTGAAGTGAAGGGGGTGCTAGGCAGTGTATGGGAACAGTGCGCTGTCAGACTGGTCTACTTTACTGATCATCCCAGACTATGAGAGACAAACCTTTGTGTGACAAGCGTAGAGGAGTCAGTTTGACTAATATTGCGTCCACGATACTAGGGTCCATAGTTAATGAAACCTAAATTGAACTCGAGAACAACAAACAGGTTCCAGATCTGGACGAGATTGCATCGATCCCACTTCTACCCTCTGACAGGTTCTAGCAAAGCGGGGTCCGACAATTGCCTTAGTTCTCAACTTGAAAGTGGCACTCGACCCTGTCTACCGTGATGCCTTGTGGGGAAGTGTTTGACTATGGAGGCAGTACAGAGCAAGTATACAATGCTCACCAAAGTTTCTACTCGAACGTACACAGCCATGTAAGGGCCTATGGAGAGTGGTCATCAGAGTTGACGACAACTAAGGGTCCGCTAGGGGTGCTTATATTCACCGTCCCTATTTAACTTCGTCATAGACGTACTACTAGATACAACCTTAAGTGCGCCTGACTGACCTACTCTCTGGAGGTTATCTGGTTGACTTGCAGTGTACAGACGATATTGTCCTGTTAGGTGAAGACGCCAAGCACGTTGAGCAGAAATCTGAGTATGTCCGGCATGAGTTTTGCACCTGTCAAATGTAAGATGCTTCAGGAATGGACTGCACCTACTTCTAGTTTAAGGATGTAGTTTGAAGTGGTGGAATGCGTTGATTACTTCACTTACTTGGGGAGTTGTATCAGCTAGAATGGGCTGGTTACTGTTGAAATCTCAGCTCGGATATAAAAGTCTTGTTTGGCATTCGCCAATTTGCATAGGCTCTGACACTGGAGAGATATCTAACCGCCTGTCAAAAGGAAGAGTGTACTGTGCTGCAGTTAGCTGTGTCATGTTATACGGCTGAGATATGGCCGTTGAAGTTAAATAGAAGGCGGTTTCATTATTTCGTTCCGGGATGCTTTGGCAGCACTGTTGGTGAATGGTAGATGCATCATATGGTCATTATCGGGTTTATTTTTAGGGTGCTGTGCAAGACAGGGAGGTATGTCGACGCAGTTGTCAACCTTCCCTTGGTGCCTGGACCTGAAATGCGTATTCATTTATCATGATCATCTTGAGGTAAGGCATCAATGAATAGTGATCCAAGTTGCCACACATATCAGAACATCAAGGAACAAGGCAGTAAAATGGTGGATGGAGAGGTGTAGGAAATTTGTCTGTTTAAAGTATTTGTTGAAGTAATAGGTTGTGAAAGAGGAATGAAGAACGATAGGAGAATAAGTATAATAGTTATGATTAGAATAATGTATGCATGCATCTTCGCGATTGGCAGCGGTTCTAAGTCGTATCACCTGGGGTCTACAGCCACTGGTTTCTTTCGTTTCTCTGTTCCGAAACGGCTAGTGTTCATCGCCGTACATGGCTGAACCGAACAGTCGAGGACTTTATGCAATGATGCCATGTTTTAATCTGTCCGCTGCGAGCCTTCTATCCTGAACCTACTTTATCCAACATTGTGCTACGAGGCAGATGTGGGCTAGGCACACGTAACACATGTCCCTGAGATCTCAGTTGATGAAGATTCACAACCGCGTCAACTGACTTACCTCTCCTCCCTAAAACTCTTTGTCTGACTTCTGCGTTACTGACGTGGTGACACCAGGAAACACGGCTTATGCTACTAAGGCAACGGTGGTCAAACATCTGAAGCCTGATGTCTTCCACCTTTAATGGCCATATTTCACAGCCATAGAGTAGAACAGAGCGGACTACAGCAAAGTACCCTTGATCCCGAATCAACAATCTTTTATTGCGGCGACGCCAAAGACCGCGTAAGTTGGCAGAAGCCATTGGAGCCTTTTATATCCCTGCCGAGATTTCATCGGCCAGTGACCAACGCACCAGGGCTGTTCCGACTTCCCAGGTAAGTGAAGTTTTCAACCACTTCACTCTCTACTGTTAGGCGGTGTACTGTTGAAGACCAGTTATGGAGCAACAGTTTACACTTAGTTGGTGAGAAACGCATCCCAAACATTCTCAAATTGCTACTCAAGGTGTCCAGAAGACTGCATCTTATGAGCGCCTTCACCTAACTGGACTATGTGATCTAGGCATTTTAGGTCTACCGAAAATTGTCTTGTGATCAGGTCAATCCCTGTGTAGTCAGGTGACGAGAGGGAGACCTCCATAAGAACATCTATGATAAAATTGAATAAGAATGAAGGAAGTAGGCATCCTTGACGGACACCACTCGACGTACACAACTCACCCGATATCCCACCGTAGACTCTAACATGCCCACTTGTTTTCGAGTAAAGAGCCTTCAGTAGGGTGATGTACTTACTCGGTACCCCTTTCAACGATATACAATACCATAAGACTTCTCGATCGATGGAGTCGAATGTCGCCCTCAGGCTGAGAAATACAACTATTGTCGGGGGTCGGTAAGAGTGACTGTGTTTCAGAACCTGACTTAGTGTGAATATTTGGTCGATATACCCACGCCCAGGTGTGAAGCCTGCTTGATCTTCTTGGGCTTGTTGTTCCCGAGGTCCTCTCAGGCATCTAATGATTATATAAGTTAGAATCTTAGACAATATGTTCGTCAAGTTGATTCCTCTGTGGTTATCACAAGACGACTTCCCGCCTTTCTTGAAGACTTGGACAATCAGTGATTTAGACCAGTCAAAGGAGTTTATATTTGACTCCCATACACTAGATAACTAGACTAAAACCACCCTACCACCGTCCTTATATACCTCAGGAACTAGTCCGTCTGGACCTGCTGACGTTCCTCGTTTCAAGTTACCCACCCCTTTTGACTTCTGCTAGTGTTGTGGGGGCCTACCTCAATGTTCCATTCAAGATCCGACTGGATAGTGGGCAACGCAATAGTGGCTGGAGGCCAGTTGGACTGTTCCTCAAAGTGTTCTATTTATCGTCCCAGTCGTCTTCCTTGTGAGTGAGTCATAAACCAATCCTTCTCCACTATAGTCTCACCAACCGTTGATTTTTTTCACCCCAGTTTCTCTGGTAAGTTTAAATAGTTATCTTCTGTTACCTATCGCCGGTACCTTTTCCACCTTTTTAGCCTTCGCTGTCCCCCCGTGGTTCGCGTTCATTGCATAGACTTTTTATCGGTTTACTTTTGAGTTGCATTCGCTCCTCATTGTACTCAGGGCCTACA